ATATATATATATATATATAATATAAATTAAATGTATGTATAAAAATAGATATATAAATAAAAGTATAGGATGTCGCACACAAAATTACCGCACAATATTTTAATGGCGTATCGCGAAACTTAATTGAAGTAGAAAATCTTGATACGAAAACACCGAGAGAGAGGCCATTATTTATCGCAATTCTCCAACATTGTATATCTTTGTGGCTAAAGTTTCAATTAAAATTCTGCGCCTAAAAATACCCTGGAAATGATAACCCAAAAATAACTCAAAAATATAATTTTGTTATTCATTCGGCTTTGAAGTTTAGTTTAAAGGCCGTTTTGCCAATTAGCTTACGATTCGTCAAGTATTGACGGCTTGACATTTTTATATTGGGGCTTTCCACACCAATTAAGCTCCGGAATATGTTGTATTAACTGACGGGATATTCTGTACGTGGTATTCAGCTTTTTTCACATACAGATTATTATCTGTTTACTTAAGCGCGAGAGAGAAAGAGAGAGTGTTTTCGATTTGTTGCATTGCGGATGAATTTTGCACTGCGTGTCGCGACAGTTTAATCGTTCCATCGAAATCGGAGCGTCTCGTTGATTAATCAACTTCACCCGAACGATTTTACAAAACGCGGTAGAATCCGGAATATTTACACACGAGCCGCTGCACTGATAAATATAAATATCTGCAACGTAATATTGATATTAAAATAGAGGAAGAGAGAGAAAGAGGATTATTTATTTGTCTGAGCGCGTGCGAGCGGCGATCGGACGTTTCTGGTTTACTGCGTCCTCAAAGTTCCCGCTCGCGCCATGCGAGAGAGAGAGAGAGAGAGAGGGAGAGAGAGAGAGAGAGAGAGAAAGAGAGCGCGCTTCTCCTGTAAATTGGAGGAATATCTCGCGGATTAATCGACCCGCGCCGGAGCGATCTTACGAAACGGAAGGAAGAGGAGCCCGGAATATTCCCGCTCTCTCGCAATTCGCCGGAATATTTCTGTCCCGCCAAATTGCGGGAATTTCACGCCGAACGCTCCGTAGTTGCGTAACGATCGCGAGCGCGCTCGCCTTACGGGTAACAAATTCGAAGGCCGAAATACGGAGGATACGGAGGATCGATCCGTTACACTCCGTCAGGCGTAATTATCGATGCCCCCCCCCCCCCCCCCCCC